TTGAGATGTACTCATGTATTTATCCTTTATATAAACATTCATACACACATACACACACATATACACATACATGTGCACACACATACACACTAATACACATACACACATATACACATACATGTGTGCACAGATACACACTAATACACATACACGTACACATACACACATATACACATACATGAACACACTAATACACATACACGCACACACATACATGCACACACATATATACATACATGCACACACATACACACTAATACACATACACGCACACATACACATACATGCACGCACACATACACACGCACACATGCACACATATACACATACATGCACACACACATACACACTAATACACATACACGCACACATACACACACACTCACATCACTCCTTGTACCATTCTGCATTTCTGAGCTGTCCTCTGGGATCATTTTCCTTCTGCCTGAAAAACACCCCAGTATTTCCTTTAGAGTGGGTCTCCAGGTGATGAATTACCTCTTTTTCAGTTGTCTAAATATGCCTTCATTTCACTTTTATTTTTAGAATGTTTTCTCACTGAACATAGAGTTTGAGGTTGTCCATTATTTGCTTTCAGCACTCTCTTCTGTTCCGCTGTTTCCTGGCTTCCATTATTTCTAGGGAGAAGTCGGCTTCAAGTCTTATTATTGCTCCATTAAGCTTTAGGTCTTTTGAGAACTTCTGTAGCTGCTTGTAAAATGTTTATCTTGGGCTTTCAGCAGCCTCCCTGTGATATGACTGGCTGTGACTTTCCTTGTATTGTCTTGCTTAGGGTTGACAGTGCTTCTTGGATCTGTGGCTTGATATCTTTTATTGGTTCTGGAAATTCTTCAGCCGTTCTCTCTCCAAACATTGCTTCTGCCCCTTTCTTTCTCTCCAGTCCTCTGGGACTCCAGTTACACGTGAGGGACACGTGAAAGTCAAATGTTTCTCACTCACTTTTCTGTATTGCTCTGGTCTGGATATTTTCTTTTGACATATCTTCCAACTCATTAACTCTCTCTTTTGTTTTATTTATTCTACTGTTAAACCCATTCAAGTTCTTAATTTTAGTTACTTTTCAAATATGAGTTTTCCATTCTATTATTTTTTTGTAATTTCCACTTCTCTGACAGAATTTTCTATCCTACGCTTTTAATTCCTTGAACATATTAAGGTAAGAGGTGTTTATTGTTGCCTCTGCATCTAATTACTCTGGTGTCCGACTCTCCTATGCGTCTGGGTATTGTCTGTTTTTTCTCTTTGTTTTCTGTCGGGTTTTGTCTTCTTGTGTGCCTAGTTAATTAAATGTTGTACCTTGTGTATGAAAAATTGTAGAGATAATTTGAAGCTACATAGGATATTATCTTCCTCCATAGAGGATTTACTTTTGCCTGGCAGGGGACACTAATAGTCTCAGGTCATCTTAACCTAAGTTACCTTATTTAGAGAGTGCTTCTACCTGTTAGGACTATTTATTTCCAGTTCACCCTCACTCCTAAGTGCTGCACTTCAGGGCCTCACCCAAAAACTACAGGGCTTTCCAGGGATCCTCCTCAGCAAGCCCTAAGCTCAGACTTTTTTTTACCCCCATTCCTGTAAGTCTGTTGAAGAGCACAGCTCTTCAGCTATCAGCAGCCAGTTCTGGAATCAGCAAATGTCTTGAGAGAAAAGGTGGCCCCAGATATCGAGTTCTCCTTTTCTGCCCCAGAAATCTGTGCTGCTTGGTAGATCTCTAGGGCCTTTAAACGGATGTTTTTATTTTACATTTTGTCTAGCTTTTCTAGTTTTCCTGGGGAGGAAGATTGATTTAAAACAACATAGTCCACCATTTGCTTAAAAATTGAACTTCCTGGATTTCTTTTAAATACTTAGTACACTGGGGAAATTCCACTGATAATTAAATGCATTAAAATTGGGTTTACACACAACTCTTTGAGAATATATTCATTGCATGAGGTAAGGTGGGTGTATTTGGAGAACGTTTTTCTAGGGCTCTCAAAACACAGAAGTTCTCTATTTTTCCCCTAGTAGTCTCTTAATAAAGATGTGTTGAAGGAGTGAATGTCCCAATGGGTGCAACATCCTCTTGGTCTGGTTATCACCAATTCTCTACAAAATCCAATGAATGGATTAACCTTCTTACACCCACCCTCACCCCCAATCCTCCTGACTGCCTGCAGTCTCTTTTCTCTGCATGTCTTAAAAATGCAAACTTGATCACATCACTCCCCTGATGAAAATACAGTACTGGCTTCCCAGTGATCTTAGAATAAAGTCCAGAATCCTCCCAGGGGCCCAGCCCATCTCCCACCCCATCACATGCCCTCCCTCCTCTCTGTCCCTCAAGCGTGCAGAGCTCTTCTCTGCCCAGGGCCTCTGCCTGTCTGCTCAGAGTCCTCCTCCCCTCCCCACCCTCTGCCTCTCAGAGATGCCTCTCCTGCTTCCTCTGCAGTCCCCTTCTCCCCTAGTTAGTCGACACATTCATTCATGCGTGCTTGCATGCATTCTTCATTCCCTGCAAAGCTCTTATCACAGCTTGCCGTGATCTCTTCCCCTACCTCCCTGAGCACAGAGCCTGGGGTCTGCACATAGCAAGTGCTTAGTCAATAACTGTGGGGTGAGTATCCCCATACAATGGAATATTATTCAGCCATAAAAAGGAAGGAACCTTGAGAACATTAGGCTCAGTGAAAGAAGTCAGACACAAAAGGCCACAGGCTATGATTCTGTTTGTGTGACGTGTTCAGAAGAGGCAAATCCATAGAAACAGAAAGTAGATTAGTGGTTGCCAGGGGCTAGGGGAGGGGGGATGGTGAGTAACTTCCAACGGATACAGATTTCTTTGGGGGTGATGAAAATGTTCCGGAATGACATACTGGTGATAGTTGTACAACTTTGTCAATATACTAAAACCCAGTGACTTGTACACTTTAAAAGGGTGAGTTGTATGGTATGTGAACTATATTTCAATAGAAGTACATATATGTGTGGAGTGAACAAATGGGTGTGTGGGGCTGTGGCCTGGTGCTCACCGGCCTTTCTCTCCCACAGTGCTCAGCCCCTGCCCTGGCTGGGACTTCTCGTCTTTAGAGTGTGGAAAGTCTGATCCCGAATATATTATATATATTCCTCTCTGTGCATGAGAATATAGAACATACACCCTGTAAATAGATTTCCACCGTCCTCCCTCTGTTTGCTTTCCTCTCTGTTTTCATAAAATGCACGGCCTTGAGAATTTTTTATTTCATAAAAGATGAAATCTGAAGCAGACTCCTGGCCAGACGCACCCGCAGGCCCACCCTGTGCACGGTGGGACTGGATTCGGAAGGCAGGAGGGCCCGCTTTGCGCACACGTTCGCCCAGTGACAGGGCAGTGGTAGGATTTGCAGGACTTCTTGCAGATCACGCGTCATCTACCACTGTCTCCAGGTCCCGGCACAGTGCTGCACAGAGTCGGGGCCCAGTAGGGTCTGATGAATAAGCCCCCACCCACCACTCACCTTGGATCCCCACAGGGCTCGGTCCTCCGAGCAGCACAACTCTCAACCCCAAGCCCAGTTAAGCCTCAGCTTAAGCCAACAACCCCCGAGAAACGATCCAGTGGAGGATGGCACCCACACTCCCTGCACCCCTGTGGGCCCTGGACAGCGTGCCGTTCCCAACCTGGGAACGAGGAACACGCAGACCAGGACAGGGCCCCACGCCCAAGCCTCCAGTGGCAGGCACAGGGCGGGGAGCTTGTGGCAGTCAGAACTCTGGGTTGCAAGTGACAAAAACTCAAACTAAACTGGCATAAGGCAAAAAGGACATACATTGGCTCAGGTATGCAAAAAGTCTACGAGGTACCTTCCCCTCAATTTTGCTGTGAACCTAACACTGCTCTAAAAAAAATAAAGTTTTAATTTTAAAAAAGGTCTATAGGTAACAGCTTCAAGTACAGTTTGATCCAGGGGCTGCCTAGTGAGAAGTTGTCACCTAAGCCCCTCTTGGCTTTGTTTCCTCTGAGATAGCCCTGTCCCTTAGTCTCCTTATTTGTGGCCACGAATAAGCACAGCCCCCAACGTTACTCACTGACCCAGCCAAATCCAGCGGCAGGGACAGCATGCTTGTTTCCCAGAAACCCCAACAAATGCCTCCTCCTCTATCATCAGCTCTGACTGGGTAAGGTGTCTATCACTGAACCGATCACTGTGTCAGGAGGAGGGATGATCTGACCAGGGCCTCCCAAGTGGGTGCTGCTCTCAGAGGTGGGGGAGGGGCCAGTGTCCCCTGCAGACCTCAACCCTAGAGCGCGGTTGGGGAAACAGAGGCACTGAGCTGAGGGAGGGCGTGGGCAGCTCACACAACCCCTCGGCTCTGAAATGCGGGTGGTCACATGTCCCTCACACACCCCCAAGTTTGCCCATCTGACTCCATGTCCACATGCCCAGCCTCCCTCTAAGGGGGCTCTTCCAAGCTTGTTTCCAGGTGTCCTCCTCGAGCACTTATTGCACACCTTCTGCACACCCAGCCCTGTGCCAGGCCCTGTTGCCTTCCTGTGTGCGAGTCCCCACCGTGCTGCCCTCCACGTGGGGCCGGTCGAGCCTCGGCAAACACCGACAGCCGGGGCCTCGACCTGTGTGGCTCAAGGGAAAGAGCCCTGGGTCTGGAATTGGAAGAGCTGGCTCCAGGCCTGGTTCTGCTGCCCCTGCTGTTCCTCCCCTCCCGGCCTCAGTCCTCCTCCATCCGAGAAAGGAGGAGGACACAGCAGATGACCTCAAAGGGACCTCGAGCCCTGGAAGAGGCCCTCCAGGGGCTCTGTATGGGGGAGGGAGCAGAGCTGCTTTCTAACACCACCTCTGGCGCCTGGCGGGCGTGCGGCACAGCGCGGGAGGAAGTGCAGTTACCTCCAGGTCGCAGAGATCTGTGACCAACTGGTGATGTCTGCCCTGGGCGTGTGGGGGGGCAGCAGCATATATGACAGATCATTTCCATCTGAACTGCTTTCTCCGTTCCAGGCACCTACGTGATGACAGTCACAGCCAACGATGCTGACGACAGCACCACAGCCAACGGGATGGTGCGGTACCGAATCGTGACCCAGACCCCACAAAGCCCATCCCAGAACATGTTCACCATCAACAGTGAGACAGGGGACATCGTGACAGTGGCTGCTGGCCTGGACCGAGAGGTGAGGCGAGCGCCGTGGGACTGGAGAGCGCAGCCTGGCCTCTGCGGCCTGTGGGGGAGATGCTGCCCCCAGCCCTGGCTGTGTCACCCGAGATCTCTGGTCCATGAAGGACATCAGAGCTCCGGGGCGAGCCTCTCCAATGGGGCACAGTTACGAAGGAAGCGGGAGGCTGGCCCCAGGACGTCCATGTCCTGTCCTTCTGGGGGGAGAAAGTCTCGGCAAGCAGATCCTAAGCCTCACCACCAGGCCTCGGGGCAAGTCCCTGATCTGGTCCCGCGTGAGCCTTCCAGAGCAGCTCCTGCTGGCCTGTGCGGTGGGGAGGGGTGGAGGGCTCAGAAAAGCAGGGGCAAACCTCCGTGGTTCTTGGGTGCAGCCACAGCAGGGCTCCAGGGCTGGGGGGGGTTTGACCACCCTTGGGAACCTGCACACCCACACCTGACCCTGGCATCTGCATGGTGGGCCATCCCGCCAAAGCCCGTTGTGAACCCTTCCGTGACAAAGTGGGGCACACGGAAGGGGCAGCACTTTCCACTCAGGCCAGGAATAATCAGAGCCAAATTGACTTCTTTGATGCTGGGAACTATGACTTCCCACCTCCACACCCCAACGAGGCTGCTACATCCACCTTTGTTTTATCCACCTTCCTCCACCCCATCATGTGGACCCGAGTGCCCACCCCACCCAGAGCCAGACCCCAGAAAGAGGCGCCTTGGGAGCAGGTGGGACAGGGTGGGCTTGCTCCTGCCGCCGGGGGTGACACTTTCCTACCGAGTCGAGGGGCGTCTCCAGGCACGGGGCCACGTGTTCCCATCTGGACAGATGACACCGTCCCAGTCACCTGCCTTGGGGCCCGGGAAGATTAATCAGCAGCTCCTGGCTGACAGCCCCCAGCCAGCAGCACTAAGTCCCCCCGGCTCCTCAGACAAGTGTCGCCTCCTTGTCCCGCCTCCAGGCCTCGCTCTCTGGCCTCCTGTTTGCTCTGTGTCCAGAGGCCAGCACATCCCAGACATACTTCCCCCACTAAAGCATTTGGCTCACAGGACCCAGGAGGAGCCCCTTGCCGAACTCAGAGCAAACAGGACTCAGATGCTCACGGGGGATGGGGCTTGTGTGCGGAGCCTGCAGCAGCTGCTGCCAGGCAGCGCTCATCTTGGTGGCCTCTGACTCCTCCTCCCTGAAAACGCCGCGGCCTCATCCTCCGAGTCTGGGGGACCCCACCTCGAGCTGGGGCCACGCTGTACTGTGGGCTTGCTAAGAGTTGCTTTGCAGGGTCGAGGCTGACAAGGAAGTGGCAGGTTCTCCCTTCACAGACTGAGTCCCCACGTCTGGTGATCTTGGCAGGTTTGGAGAGCTGAGGGGACTCCAAATGCCTGAGTCCAGACCTCAGACTCGGCAGACCTGCCAAGACTTGTCTCGCCATGTCGTCACCGCCTGTGCCTTCTGAGTCAATACATGCCAGGTTGTAGCACACCCCGCCCCTGGAAGGGCATGAGGTGATGGGGTGGGGCAGAGAGGCCACGTGAAAGATAATTCATGCAGTCTCGTGGCTCAGCGGGAGGCAAGGTGGCTCCCAGGTCAGCATGGGCTCGGGACTCAGTGGAGCAGGGCCCTCGCCAACTGCGTGGCCGGGGGCACATTAGAGGACGTCTCTGAGCACCAGCCACAGTGCCCTCTACCTGTGAAACGGGCACAGCATCGCTGGCCTCGTGGGCGCGTGCAGGGATTGGAGGCATGGGGTAGGCGGCAGGGCGAGACCTGGCAGAGAGGGTGTGCAGGGGGCCGTGGTCGCACAATTTAAACACATTTTCTCTGACTGACGTTGGTGGAGCTGTGCGATGGGGGAGGTGGGCCAGAACCCGGCACTCAGAGTGTGCCTCGGGCAGTCCCAGCGCCTCCATCTCGTGCACTGGAGGACCCCTCCAGGCGCCCCACCCTCCAGTGACTGAGAGAGGTGCCTGCTCGGCCTGGACAAGGCCCCGCCATCGGGGATCAGGGCGAGGAGCTGCAGTCCCAGAGCCCGCTGCTCTTAGTGGGGGAGGTGGTCCCGTGGGCCGTGATGGTACCACCACATGGGGAGGGCCATTGGCGAGGCGAACCAGACACCATCCCCTGTCTCCCCTCCGCCTGGGGTCCCCCACCGGCCCTGGAGATGGAGGGCAGCCCCTTTGCCACCCAGAGACCTTGAGCAGGTAGTTCTCCACGCTGTCGCCACAGCCAGGGGTTTTCACGCCTTTGGGGAGAGCAGCATAGTAGGACTGGGGCCTGTGCATGCATGCACACACTCACACACACTCCTGCACACACACATGTCCTTCTCCACAGACAGCTTGGGAAGCATTGCTCCAAGGAAACTCCTGTCTGAGGTCCGCAGTCAAGGCTGAGCTCCTGCACGGCGACCCCTGACCAGGAACAAATGCCCCGTTTGCTCATTTAGAGGTGCTGGGTGAGGCGCAGGGGAAGTGGAGCTGGTTAGATGGGTGGCTGCCTCCCAGGGCCAGGGAGAGTGGGGAGCAGAATCTAAACGGATATGCTGCAGCAGACCGCATGTGTACGCGGTGGATTACATGTGTATGTGGTGGCCCACGTGTGTATGTAGTGGATTACGTGTGTATGCGGTGGACCGCATGTGTATGTGGTGGACCGCGTGTGTATGTAGTGGATTATGTGTGTATGCCGTGGACTGCATGTGTATACAGTGGATTGCATGCACAAAGTGTCACTGTGGGCAGATAAGATCACTCTAACTATGGAGAATCAAGGGAGGCTTCTCAGAGGAGGTGGCCTTGCTCTGCTCCTTGAAGGCTGGTAGAATCGATCATATTCTCTGCTCTTTGGGACTAATGACCTGCACCCGCTGTTTCTGAATGCTGCATATCACACATTTAACTTGTCTCAAGACAGATGCCACTCAGCAGATTCCTTCATTCAATCAACAACTTTCACTGAGTCCCTACTGTGTGCTAGAAACTGCCGTGGCTGCTGGGAGATAGCGGTGAACAGGGCAAGCAGTGTCCCTGCACGTGTGGGGCTCACTTTGCAGGAGAGAGAAACGGGCAAGGGAAAAAATCACCGGCTAAGTGAATAAATTGAGGAGGTGGCGTGGGTGATGAAGAGATAGACAGCATCGTGTGCGGTCCCTGGAGGGCGGGGAGGGGAGGGCCTACCCCATCCCTGTCTCTGGGAGGGTGTCGTACAAGTTTCCCAGGGCTGTCATCACAAAGGACCACAGGCTGGGGGCTTAAAACAAGAAGTTGATTCCCTCTTTGTCCTCAGTGGATACAGAGGGGCAAGCAGGCTGCAGGCAGGAAGTCTCGCTCCTGAGCTCCCCCCGGCCCCACCCTGGGTCCCCCAGTGTCCCTCTGCTCCGTGTATGAAGGGGCTGCCCCTCCCCTCAAGCCCCACAGAGACGCAGGTGTCCACCAGGTAACCTGAGGCCAGGGGAGGCCCAGCGCTCACCTTGCAGTTCTTGGGCTACAGCTCAGTGCTCAGCCTGCGGGGAGCGGGCAGGTGGCAGGAGGGAGATGGGGCGGGCGCAGGCCCTGCGTCTCAGAAGTCCCCGGGCTGCATCCTCTCAGCCGGGCTCTGCGAGCTCCTCTGAGGTTTCTGTGCAGGCAGCTCTGCCTGCCCCTGCCCTCGGCTGCCTCGTCTGTGCACTCCCCTTCCCCCCACCACCCCCAGCCGTCCTCCGGCCAGCCCAGCAGGGCAGAGGGGCAAGGGCTCCCGCTTGGGGCGCATCCGTCTCCCACGGGCAGATTCCCGCCCCCTGCCCGGCAAAGCCTTGTGTCCCTCGGCCGTCGCTAACGAGAGCTTCTGCTCAATATTTGATGAGCGTGGACTTCCGGCAGGAACCGGAGAGGCGGGAGGGCCGTGCTGCCCACGAGCCGCAGAGTCCAGCGGCTCAGCTGTCATGGTCTCTATTTGAGATAATAAGCAGCCCGGCTGCACAGCCCTGCCGGGAGCTCTGGCTGGCGGTGTCGGGCCTTCTAGAAGGAAAGAGGCGTTCCAGGGGCCTCTGTCTAGAGGAGAAAGGGGCACCATCCAGAGGACCCTTCTGGAAGGCTGCAGAGGAGGGAGAGGCCTCCCAAACCTCAGAAAGCTCAGAGAAGCTGCTGGTTCTTAAGAACACAGGGCCCAGCTCTGGATACCCAGCCGCAGTTTCCCCAAGCTAGCTTTGCTGTGTTCGGGGGAGCAGGGGGCTGTTTCTGGTTTTAATTTATTTGTGAACAATCAGGCAGGTATTGGAGGCAGGGAGGGACGGAGGACAGACCGCCAGCCCCCACTAAGAGCGGTCATGGGAGGAATAACTGCCAGCGTTTCGTGAGCATTCCTGGCCATTTTTTTCCACTCTTTTAGCAAACACGTGCTGAGCGCCTGCTGAGGGGGCCCGCCCTAGACACAGGCAGCTCAGGGAGCCGCAGGGAGCTCAGTACGGGCCAGGCACTGTGCACTACAAATTATCACGTTTTAACCCACGCAGCAGCCCTGGGAGGAAAATTCTAGTAACGATGTTTCTTTCCAGATGTGAAAGGTGAGACTGCAGTGGCTCTTCATTGGCGGGGTCTCAGGGTTGCCAGGTCGCGGAGCTCAAGAGAGGCTCTGCCCCATGGTCCTGGCCCTCCCCCTGTGCGGGCTATAAACTCAGCCGCCCGCGGAGCCCAGGAGGTCAGCAGGGGAGTGGGGGTGGTGCGAGAGGCCCAGGAGGGTCTGCCCACTCCAGCCATACTGGAGCAGACAGCAGGGAAGGCTTCCCGTGCGAAATTTTTTTTAAATCCCATGCAAGGCAAATGGAACACATCTGTGGGTGGGTCAGCCTCGGGGCTCCCCGTGGGTTCCCCCAGCTCCTTCCGTAACGGCCAGCGCTTTTAGTCACAAGGAAGCTGAGTTTTCCTGTCTCAGAAGTGGGACCCGCCAGGTTGCCTGGGGTGAGGGTATGCGGCCCTGAAGCGGAGGAAGGCATCAGTAACGTCACCTGCTGACCCTCCGCCCAGCACCGCCCGGCT